AAGGCTACAGTCAGAGAAAATCAAAGATGGACAGTAGGAGATGCCTGGCTTTGGTCTGAGCCCTAGTCAACACATTTATGTATCGGAGGTGATATCATTACTTTCAGCTAACAAGTGAACGCGTGATCCTACTACTCTCATTCGAGAGTAGCATCAATGGATTTTAATTCCCACATGAATTCTCATGAGACATGTCTCATCTGAACTTTCGAGGGGCTTCTTCTGCTCTACAGGAAGAGGATACTGAAAGCTTATGTCCACACTTTGCGATGAACGGTCAACCTCAGAAGGCAAAAGCAACCTTTACATAACCTAATAGTAACGAGCAAGAAGTGATGGAGCTAGTACGGCTTCAGACCAACCTGTGAACGCATTTATGACCTAATGTAACAACGGAAGGTAGAAAAAAAGTGTCCGTACTCCAAGTATTCTGAAAGTATACAAGGAAATGAGTTTCCTTTAAGGTTAGGGAACAGCTTATCAGAAAAGCCTAATACATGGTGCAACAGTGTCTCGTAAAATGGTGATACATAAAGTCCATTAACTGTCCTGAACAGAAGGGTGCTTGTCATTACAGTCTTTAAAACAATCATCCCAACTTTGGACTCGCTTCTAGAAGGACATTCTGGACGTTTATGTCCCTTAACACCACACAAAATGACAAACAAAATAAAAGAAGTTCATTTACACCGTCCATTATAGGCTTGATTCTTATGGTCCTGATGAACCATTCCCTTAGTTCGATCCCTTTAGTCTTTATAGGAATTGTGAGCCTCAGCATACAGGGTTCACAGCCCTCAGCTAACTTCCCACAACTTTAATCAGGTTACGTTCTCTGATGTATGTTCGTATCTGATGGGGAAGAGCTGTCAGAACTGTCAGCCCACCATGAAGTGTCTAAAATACATAACTGTGTCATTCCTGAACTCTCTATCCAAAGTCGAGCAACGAAAGAGTGTTACTGTAACTGCTGAAAGTTCTGGCTGGCCCCAGCTGTAAGGGCATACCTGAAATCTTTCCTGTAAAATTAGTGGTTTTTTTGATATGCTTTTTAAGGATTGCCTTCTTCAGTAGGTTATAATTAACATAAAGATATCCTGCGACAAAGTAGCATTAATATTCAAGGCTGTACCAAAAATAACATTCCTAACCGGTAGCCCATGTGTCAGCAGGCCATTCACAGAGGGTAGCGATTTTTTCAAACCGAAAATGTATGAATTTATGTCTTCCCCCCTCTTTGAAGGGAAGGTATATTAGTGTTGGAATATGGCACTGACTGCAACGTTTGTTTCCATTACCCTCCTCCTAATTGTTGTAGTGTAAGAGTTAACTTTTTATTCTCTAATTCAAGACGATTTTTCGAGCTCGCATCCTTTTCTCATCTCTATTAACCAAGTTCTCATAGCTTTTTTCCTCAACTTCTCTATCCCATTTTGCTCTTTTCCTCAAGTTCTCCTATTTAGTAGCCTTTTCCTCACGTATTTTATGCCTGTTCCTCACATTTTAGCCTGTTCCTCACGTATTTTTTGCCTGTTCCTTTCCTCACGTATTTTACCTGTTTCCTCACGTTCACAAAGCTCTTTCTCTCGATCAAGTCTATCACGCTCCTTTTTGTCTTCTCTTTCTCTTTCTAACTGCTTCTTGGATTCTCTCTCATTCTCTCCTCTCTCCTTTTTCTCTTCTCTTTCGATTCCTCTCTCTCTCCTTTTTCTTCTTCTCTTTTTCCCTTTCTAACTGCTCTCTTTCTCTCTCAATACTCTCTCTCTTTCCAAGTCTTTCCTGATCTACACAATGAAAATTCTAAATTTTTCCCTGTTATCTAACTACCTTCCAGCGTTCATCCAAAACTGTATCCTCCATGCTTGCAAGAATAACTAAACAATCAGGGAAATGAAACAGGGATTGAAAAAACAGAGGTTTCAATTCCCTGCTCCGTTCAAACTGTAAATAAACCAGAGGGCATCGATCCCTGCTTCAATTAAACAATATGTATTAATTAAAACGAAGGGTTCTATGCGGCTCCAAGCAAACAGTAAGTAGAATGGGTCCCTTGACCATCCAATCTTCTCACCAACAATCAAGAGTGTCCAACGAGAGTTCCTTGAAAAATAAAGAGCTCAACGAAACAAATTGTCACTGGAAAAATCTCAGGGTCCTAGAGTCTAATCCTCCAAAGGTTTCAACCACAAGAAAGGTGGCAGAATTACTATTATATATATCCTGCCTGACTTTACTTACAATAATTGAGACAATAAACATCATCCAAATCTTTTAAATACCTGTACCGTAGTCCTACATAGAGAATGATTACACTATGCTGGTTGTAACCGTCTGTGGTAGGCAGCATTGAAGATCAATGGTAGATTCCGATGAATTGAAATCTTGATTCAGTCGAGTTGTATCCTGTCAGGGTCCCATGGTTTTTCTTGTGAAGGCTTACTAGCCTTGCAATAACTTCAGACAGTATTACCAAGGCTGGCTCCCTCCTCCAGAAAATTAATGAATAGAAAAAAGAAATAATAAACAACAAATATCAACACTTTTATTATATAGAAAATATAAAATAAAAAACACTTAAATATGAAATAGTCATCTCCCTACATTAAAAAAGAAAAAATGAAAATGAAAAATATAAAATGATAACTGAATTCAACGCTATATAAAACTTGGGTGTCTGGGTGTTGGTGACACACTGTGATGTGACACTGTGTTTTGAAATCGTAAGCCGTGTGCCAGAATGAGGGGGGGGGGTTGCAGGTGTTGTTCTGACCCACGTGGCTATTCCTTCACAGATAGCTTGAGTATTTATATCCCGATGACGGAAAGCAGTTCTTTACCGCAGTATGATGAGGGTTACTCCTGCAATTTCATACAGGTCACGAGGTAATTAAATCCAAAAGGGAAGTCTCAGGACGTTTAGTCCATCTCCACCAGTTTCTCTTGTTGATTGACAAGGTTGACCTCTCTGTCCATCCAAGCCTGAAAAGAAAGACAGTTCCCACTGCTTAAGATAATCACTCACCAGAAAAGTAATCAATACCTAAAAGATGAGGGGGGGGGGGGGGGGGGGGGGGGGGGGGGGGGGGGGGGGGGGGGGGGGGGGGGGGGGGGGGGGGGGGGGGGGGGGGGGGGGGGGGGGGGGGGGGGGGGGGGGGGGGGGGGGGGGGGGGGGGGGGGGAGGGGATTATTACAACAGTCAAATAGAGAAAGGGTGGAAAGAAAAGTTTTTAGGGGTCAAAAGTGAACTTTCAACCCAAAAACCACTAAATACAAGGCAGGCATTACTTCGTAGTGCGGGGAGCTGTGAGTCTAGTGATTATTTTTGGACCAGACCCCCCACACGTCACTTTGGGGGGGGGGGAAAGGGGGATACGGGGCTAGACTGACCCTCCCAAAACAAGCACCCGGCAGTCAAACTACACTTTGGGGAGGGGAAAAAAGGGGGGAAAAGCGGGAGCTTGACTTACCCCCCTTAAAAGTAGCCGAAATGAAATTTTGTTACATTACTCCCTCGCTACTCCACTTTTGAATTTTCCCCTACATGGGATTTCACTTTTTTCCTGTTCATCGTCAGTATAAAAGTCCCTCTCAGTAGGGGTCCAAATTCACAGGTGTTTTACTTGGATTTTGCATGGGAAAATAAAATATTTTGGGTTTCTTGCAATATTCGTATGGCCTTTGTTCCTTTTTGTACTTCTTCTGTTGGTATGACACCCTAAATTTTTGCTCTATTTCCTGATCTCTAAAAGCCTTTTTTCCCCTTTTTTGAAGCATATTTGTTTTTTTTAAGCAATTCATAACCCTTTTTTTCTTCTGTCCCATCCCCTACGCTCTCCTCTATATGATCTTCTGGTTTTCCGATGGTACTTGCCCCATACATACTTTTTTGCTTTTATATTCAGCTTCCTAGGACTGGTGGGATTTAGGGGGCCGTGTTTTCCTCTCAGATATGCTGTAGTTTGGGTTTTTTTTTTCCCATAGTTCTATGGTTTTTAAAAAAAAAATTTCTGAACACCCCTCTCTAAAATTAGTGAGGGCAGTTCCCTAACCCAGGGTTTTTACTTGTTGAAATTCTATGATGTTGTGATCAGAGTATTTGTTTTTGAAAAGTTTTGTTTTGATTTGTTCCTTTTTGTTTTGAATTTCAAATCCAGGGTATTTTCATTTTTAGGGGGATAGTTACTGTTGGTTTAATAAGTACTTTTCACAAAGACATTTGTTCCTGGTATGGTCTGTTGACCAGGGGGCTTCTGGGGATATTTTTGGTATAAAATTGTGTTGTGCCATCTTTCCTTTTACATGGGGAGATTAAAATCTCCAAGGAGTAAAAATTTGGTGTGGGGTTTTTTTAAACCATCCACTTAAAATATCTATCTTTCCCTTTGCTTCTCTGTGAATTCCTCAGCATTTATGATGGTGGGTTTTTTGGGACTAGGATAATTTCCAAATTCCCATTTTCAACTTTTAAAGCCCCCGAATTTCTACATATCACTCGAGAGTTCAGCCTTCTTTTCAAAGAAATTCCTTTACAAAGATTCCTACTCCTTTAAATTTTACACATGTATACATGTTACAGTTTTCTATGTTTATCTCTACATCCGAAACATCCCTTGTATGTGTTTCTGTAAATGCTCCAAACATGGCATTTGCTTCTGATTGGAGCCCGCTTACATAAATAACTTTGTTGGTTTTATTTAATTTCAAACCCTGAATGTTTGCAAATATGAAGCAGGAATTACCATTTGGGACGTTTTGTCTTGCTTTGTGCTTCATTAGTACCACTGGTGATGTACTACCTGTTATGTTAGATATTAGATGAATCTTGTCACACTGGCCTGTGAGTTTTAGGACTCACCTAATAAATTTTGAGCCCCATCCATTCTGTGATTTATTTTCTGTTGTGTTTTTACGATTTCGAAAGTCATTACTCTATTAATTGTTTATTATTTTGGCCAGTTACTCATCAGTGAGTTTGTTTAATTATCATTTTCTTCTTCCAGCCTGCAAATATATTCTTTACATTGGATGGAAAAAGCATTCAGCTGGGTGACTTTGGTCTAGCTCGCTCACTGCCTGACTTGGTTAATAATGGAGATGTAGGGGCAGAGTGTGTTGTCAGCAACACTCTTACACCCATTTCTGAGCATGCACCAAACACTCGGGGTGTTGGTACACCCATCTATGCAGCTCCAGAGCTCAAAAGTGGTGCCCAGTATGATACAAAGGTATTGTAGCACTATGCATGTTATTCTTTTATAAAAATAATATATTTTCCACCAGGAACCATTTTTTTTATTCAAATTCTTATCAAACATTTTTTCATTGCAGCATTTTTCTTAATGGCATTGTTCCTTGCTTTTTTAGGTAGCAGTAATATTACTGACATATTTTCCTAGAAATTTTAGAATTATTAAGTTATTATTTGTTTTTTTATTAACACATTGGACATCTCCCACCAAGGTAGGGTGGCCTGAAAAAGAAAAACTTTCATCATCATTCACTCCGTCACTGTCTTGCCAGAGGCATGCTTACATTACAGTTATAAAACTGCAGCATTAACACCCCTCCTTCAGAGTGCATGCATTGTACTTCCCATCTCCAGGACTCAAGTCCGACCTGCCATTTTCCCTGAATCCCTTCATAAATGTTACCTTGCTCACACTCCAACAGTACGTCAAGTCCTAAAAGCTATTTGTCTCCATTTGCTCCTTTCTAACACACTCACGCATGCTTGCTGAAAGTCCAAGCTCCTTGTACACAAAACCTCCTTTACCCTCTCTCTCCAACCTTTCCTAGGCTGACCCCTACCCTGCCTTCCCTCCACTACAGATTTATACACACTTGAAGTAATTCTATTTTGTTCCATCCTCTCTGCATGTCCAAACCACCTCAACAACCCCTCCTCAGCCCTCTGAATTATAGTTTTGGTAATCCCACACCTCCTCCTAATTTCCAAACTACAAATTCTCAGCATTATATTCACACCACACATTGCTCTCAGATATGGCATCTCCACTACCTCCAGCCTTCTCATTATAGCAACTTTCACCACCCATGTTTCACACCCATATAAGAGTGTTGGTATAACTATACTCTCATACATTCCCCTCTTTGCTTCCATGGACAAAGTTCTTATTCTTCACAGACTCCTCAGTGCACCACTCACCTTTCTCCCCTCATCAGTTCTACGATTCACCTCATCTTTCATAGACCCATCTGCTGACATGTCCACTCCTAAATATCCGAATACATTCACCTCCTCCATACTCTCTCCCTCCAATCTGATATCCAATTTTTTGCCACCTAATTTTTTTGTTATCCTCATCACCTTAGTCTTTCTGTATTCACTTTTAATTTTTTTCTTTTACATACTCTACCAAACTCATCCACCAACCTCTTCAACTTTTCTTCAGAATCTCCCAAAAGCACAGTGTCATCAGCAAAGAGCAACTGTGACAACTCCCACATTGTGTCAGATTCTTTATCTTTTAACCCCACACCTCTTGCTAGCACCTGAGTATTCACTCCTCTTACAACCCCATCTACAAATATATTGAACAACCATGGTGACATCACACATCCTTGTCTAAGGCCTACTTCTACTGGGAAATAATCTCCCTCTCTCCTACATACTCTAACCTGAGCCTCACTATCCTCAGAAAAACTCTTCACTGCTTTCAGTAACCTACCTCCTATTCCATACATTTACAACATCTACCACATTGCTCCCCTATCTCTGCCTTTTCCAAATCCACAACTGCCACAAGAACCTCTTTACCCTTTTCTAAATACTCTTCACCTATATTTCACTGTAAACACTTGGTATACATACCCCCTATCTTTCCTAAAGCCTCATTGTTCTTCTGCTATCCTATTCTCCATCTTACTCTTAATTCTTTCAATAACAACTCTACCATACACTTTACCAGGTATACTCAGCAGACTTTGTCCCCTATAATTTTTGCACTCTCTCTTGTCCCTAGGTACCTTACCCTCATCTATACATTTATTAAGTAAAAGCATAAACCACTCCAAAAACTATATCCCCACCTGCTTTTAACATTTCTATCTTTATCCCATCAATCCCAGTTGCCTTATTCCCTTTCATTCTACCCACTGCCTCACGAACTTCCTCCACACTCACAACTGGCTCTTCCTCACTCCTATAAGATGTTATTCCTCCTTGCTCTATATATGAAATCACAGCTTCCCTATTTTCAACATTGTTTAACAATTTCTCAAAATACACCTACCATCCGACTTACGACCTGCTCGACTTAGGACCACTCGACTTACAACCGTTTTTTTTTTTGCCAAATTTCTGGGAAATAAACAACTATTTGTTTCGTACACAGTGTTTATCCTAAACCTTACAGTATAAAATACAGTACTAACAGCATAAAAAGTAAAGTAAAACATAAAATACCAAAATAAAACAATAAAATAAAGTCATTACAAAAATGTGATTTTGATATTCAGTAGTAAAGTTCGACTTACATCCATTTCGACTTACGACCGGTTTCTCGGAACCGAACTCGGTCGTAAGTCGGATGGTAGGTGTATTCCCTCCATCTTTCTGATACCTCTAACTCTCCATTTAATATCCTAAATATTAAATTTCACTTTGATCAGAATGATATACAGTAAAGCCTTGATATAACAGACTAATAGGCATTTTGGATGTCATTTATAGGCCCCCAAACCTTGATAGGGAGTGCAGTAAGCTGTTATGGGACGAAATTCATAAGGCATCTAGATATGAAAATGTTGTGATAATGGGAGATTTTAACTTCAGACAAATTGATTGGAACAATATGACAGGAAATCTTGAGTCTATAACTGCAATCAAATCTCTGTCCCAGATTTTCGCTTGACCCACTTCATGGGACTGAAAAATTACCTGGGTGGGCTAAATTGGGATGTCCTGACTATGGGTCAGGTAGGTGATCTTGGTTGCCAATATGACGTTTTTCAGAGCATAGTTCTAGCTGCCCAGACAACTTTTGTTCCGAGTAGGGAAATAAGATCTAACAAAAATGATACCAAATGGATGAACAATAGATTAAAACATCTCATTGGTCAAAAGAGAGGCATATATAGGCGTATCAAAAAAGGGGATGGGCAGTTAAGGAATCAATGCTTTCAATTAAAGAGAGAAATAAAGAAAGGAATAAGAAAAGCAAAAAGGTATTATGAGGCTAAGGTCGCAAGGGATTCAAAGACTAACCCAAAAGGGTTCTTTCAGGTATACAGAAGTAAGATTAGGGACAAGATTGGCTCACTTAAGAGTAACTCTGGTCAGATCACTGACAGTGATAAGGATGTGTGTGAAATTCTACATACCTACTTCCTCTCAGTTTTCACCCAGGAAAATACTAGCGATATTCCCTAAATAATAGATTATGTAGAACAGGATGATAATAAACTATGTACGATTGTGGTAACTAGTGACATGGTCCTCAGACAAATAGAGAAACTAAAACCTAACAAATCCCCAGGCCCTGATGAACTGTTTGCAAGGATGTTAAAAGAATGTAAAGAGGAACTTAGCATACCTTTGGCTAATCTTTTTAACATATCACTACAAACTGGCATAGTGCCTGATAAGTGGAAAATGGCAAATGTAATTCCTATTTACAAGGCAGGTGACAGGTCCTTGGCTTCAAACTATAGACCAATAAGCCTTACCTCCATAGTGGGAAAATTTATGGAATCAATAATTGCCGAAGCAATTTGTAGCCATCTTGATAGGCGCAGATTGATTAATAACCCTTTCAGGGTCCGTCCCGTAGATCTACGGCTTCACGTTGAGTGTCCAAACAGTAGATCTACGCCAAAATTCTAGCGCCGTCAAATTTAGCGCGAAAGCACTCATAGGCCTACATGTGAGAGAACGGGTTTCGTGGTGGGGGTTTCGCATAAAAAAAAAATCTAGGACCCTCCCCCCTTCCTTCCCCAAGCTATTACTCAAATCTTTTTTTGCCACTTTTTTTGGGAACCACCCAAAATTCCAGTTGGAAAAAGTTTTGGAAATGATTTTTAATTCAAAAAAAATTTTGATTTATTCAAAAAGGGGACATGCATTATTCACCCTTCCCCTTGGAAATTAACCCCCCTAACCCCAAAAAGGGGGGGTTTTAAAATTTTTTTTTCCCCCTTTTCCCCAAGGGAAAAAATTTTTTCTCCCGGGATTTAAGTGAAAATCCCCTTTTTCCTTCAATCTATGTTTATTTTTTTTTCCCCATCCGCTCAGTCCCCCCAAAAAATTTTAATACGTTTCCCTTATATTTTAACGATATTAATTTTTCCCCCTTAATCTTTTTTTTACCTATCCCTTCTCCCTTAATTTTTAAATTTTTTTTTTTCAACCCTCCCCTTATACTTTGCAATTTTTAGAATTAAGGGGACTTTTTGCAAAACTTCAACCCCCAAAATTTGTGGTGATTTTTTTTTTAATACCCTTGCAACCCCGGGGTTTCTTTTTTTTCCCCCCCTTTAAAATTTTAAAACCCAGGGGGGAAAAATTTTAAAACCCAAAATTTTAAAGGGAAAAAATTTTTTTTAAACTTAAGGGCCTCCTACCCTCGCTTCACGTTTAGTCTCCCCCCCCAAATTTTGCAAATCTGCCACATTCCCCCCACCCCCCTTCATAGCCTTTAAAACAAAAGCCTTTTGCCTTACAAAACTGTTTTTATAGTTTTTGAAAACCCGGTAAAACCCCCTTTTCCCAAAAGCCTTTTTTATCGCTTCCTTTCCCCGTTTTTTTAATTTTTTTAAATTAAAATTCCTACACTTAAAGTAATAAACGATTTCCCCTTAATTTTTTGCCCCAAAATCCCCCCTTTTAAAAAGGAACTTTGCATCTCCTCCAACCCTGGTATTCCTCTTCCTCATTTTTTCCCAACCAAAAACTATATCCCCCTGCAAACTTTTTTCTTTTAAATCGGTGTTCCCCCTTTTCTTTTTTATATGTAGAACTTCCCCAAAATCCTAGGCCCCCCACCCCGTGTTACCTTTTGCCTAACGAAATCCCCTTTCCCCTTTTCACCCCTTTCCCCCAAAATACTTATTTCCCTTTCCCTAACTTTTTTTAATAACCCCCCCTTTTTTTAAATGTTTTTTTTCCACCTTCTTGTAACCCACTAAAACTTTTTTATTTTCAAAAAAAAAGGAAAACACCACCACCCTATTTGTTCCTTTTTCACCCAAACCCTTCTCCTTCCTTTTTCCCTTTATTTCCCCCCCCTATTCTATTTAAAAATTCTCTAT